TACATTATAAAAACATTAAAAATATAATGTTAATAATTTAGAAAATATTCAAATCAATGTACATGTGCATTCCTTTATAGTAATGCCAAGCAAAACATAATCATTAATTATATTTTTATTCTCCATATATCTAAATGCTTACCACCTAAATCCTTAGTAATAAGTATAGTATCAATATCTTTTTCCTCCTTGACCATCATCTGAAAAAAGATAACTTCTACTCCTTTCATTAAAAAATATAAAGCATTTTTAATCGAATCTCACCCCCAATAAAGTAGTTACTTACTTTTTAATTAACCTATTTTTTTATATTTATTCCTATTAAACACCTTATAATAAATACAAAGTCATTGTCAATAAGGGCACTTTTGAAAAAAAGATAATGATTACACCTTGAAAGACTAAAAATACCTCACATTTTTGAATATCCAACTCTTCAAAAAATACTTTATATTTTTGAATGGAGGGAGTATATCTGGTTCATTCTACTCTTCAAGCCCTACTTGCAACTTGCTTGAGGTTTTTATAATTAAGAAAAATGTAATTTTTATTATTTTATTATATCTAAAATTTTTTTAAGAAAAATATAATCTTTAATTTTAAAATAAAATAAAAAAGATATTAGTAATAAAAATTTTAATATTACAATCTTTAATAAAATTTAATTTCCTAAAAATTTCCTTAAAGTATTGGTTTGAAGTATCAATTCGCAATATTAAAGTATTGGATATGTAGCAAAATTAAATTTTTAAAATTTAAAATTAATATTTCAATACTTTATGGATATGTTTCAAAAAAGTATCAGCAAGTATGTACTAATATGGATACATGAAGCAATTTAAAGTATTGATTATTTATAGAATATACATACTTTAAAGATAAAATATCTAGCATTTAATAACCATCCCAACAATTAACAAGGACAAAAGGCAAAAGATGAATACAACAATTATTAAAATGCCTTATAAAAAAGATCAAAGTAAATAATATCTCTTCACCTCATAAATAGGACCTAAGAAGTACTTGTCATCAAGGTTGTCAAACTCAAAGTTTAAATAAATTCATAATGGGGATGTAAATTCAAATTGTAAACTCATAAGATAATGATTCTATTGGAATCCCTTTAGCTCAAGTGGAAGTTAGTTGAGAGTGCCTACCTCATAGTTAAATGAAGCTCAACGTAGATGGTTCTGTACAAGACCATTTTAGACGTGTGGGGTATGGAGGGTTATTTCATGATGAAAAAGGGATACGGGTGGCTAGTTATATGTGCAATTTGGGACATTATTCTCCATTAGAGGCTGAATTATGGAGCATTTATCATGAATTTAAGGTTGCAAAAGATATGAATCTCAAGAATCTTATTATAGAGAGTGATTCAACAACTATTTGTTAACTTCTTCAATCCTTCCTTGACTCAGGACAAACGGATTCTTGGCAGCTCGGGCATGGTATCAAGTTTCTTAATCCTAATGTTGATGTTGGAGTTAAGCATGTTTTCAAAGAAGGCAATAGACGTGCAAATTGGCTTGCAGAGAAGAGTGTGGACTAGCTTGACAACTGCTTTACTCTTGAGATGCCTCTAAGGGAGCTTGTTTCTTTATTATATCGAGATTCCATAAGGGTTTTGGTCCCTTGTTTTGTGTCTTAGTTTTCTAGTTGTTTGGACTTTGCCCTTCTAAAAAAATAATTTAAAAAACATGATTAACTAATTAAATATAAAATATGACCATAATTTGATTTAAGGATGTTTCAAAATCTAGATCTTAAAATTAAATCTATCTATATTGATAAATTATCACACTCAACATATTAATTTCAAAACATAGGGCAACTTATTTTTGTATTTCTTTTTTGTTAATATTAGTTTTTATTTTTTGAGTTTTATTTTTCTTTAAACCAAATTCCACCCCTTCTATGAATTGAGTTTTATACCGTGTATACCAATTAACTCACTCAACTCGATAAAAAATTAATAAGTTTAGCAAGTTTAATTGAGTCACTCACAAGTTTAATTGAGTTTGTATTTAATCTAAATTCATGAGAGAGTTGATATGATTTTATAAGTTGAAAAATGTAAAAATAATGAACTTCAAAAGTCAACTCACGAGTTTAATTAAATTTTCTTCTAATTTGAGTTTTCAGTGAGTTGATATAATTTTATAAATTAAAAATATAAAAATCAAAAAAATCAAAAAATTAACTTAAGAGTTTAATGATAATATTTGTTATGTTGATCCTTACCTCTCCTAATTTTATTTGTTAGTCACATTCATTCCACAGGAGGTCTTCTTTGTTCTTAATGTAAATCATTCTCCCTTTTTTATCAATTTTTGACATACGATTTCCAAAATATCCTCTTGTAAATTTAAAAGAAGGCCCAATATTTTAATTTTTAAAAAGAGTTACATGTCTAATAACTCTTTTTTAAATTTAAGAATAAATATGTAATGTAATTTAATTTGAAAGAATGATAGTTAAATTTTAAAATATTAAATTAATATCAGTTAAGTATTTGACAAATTTTTTAAAAAATAAATTAAAAATATTGATTTAAATTATTATAAATTTAAGAGTTTTAATTATAAATGAGCTTTTAAATATCAAATATAATTTTTAGAGTATAAAAAAATTATTGTAACTATTTAAATTAATATTTATAATTTATTTTATTAAAAATTTTATTGAAAATTTAATTAATATTAATTCAGTATTTATTTTTTTTTTTGGCGGAAGGTCCTTGAATGTCATTTTATCCTTTGATTTTTTTTTTTTTTTAATGACTGTCAAACACCAAACAGAGTTTCTTCATCGCTCTCGTCACCGACTATTCGAGCATTGAAACTCCATCGGGTATTCTGGAAACAACCTCCGTTTCTACTCCGTTCCCTCTATAAATAGTCCACGCTACGCAATCTCTTCGCCATTTTTTTCCTCTTCTGATTTGACATTCACATATTTCTCAATTCTTGATTCTTGATTCTTGATTCTTGATCAGTTAGGCATTTTCTCAAACACATTACCATGGCTGAAGATGGCACTGTCACGGTCTACAGTAGAACCGCCATTACCGAACGAGAAATGAATTCATTCTCATCCAATGCAGGAGGGCGTCAAATGCCTCGAGGAGGTGCTATTTTTGAAGTCTCAAGCATTCGACAAGCCAAGATTGCAGAAGAAGCCGGTGCTTGTGCTATCACTGTTTCGGAGCCAAGTCGCCCAGGCATTTTGCGAATGATTGATCCGTTTCTTCTCAAACTGATCAAGCAGGCCGTGAATATTCCCATAATTTCGAGGGCTCGGGTCGGGCATTTCGTCGAGGCCCAGATTCTTGAAGCTGTTGGTGTCGATTATATCGATGAAAGCGAGTTGCTAGCTGTAGCAGACGACCAAAATTATATCAACAAGCTCAATTTCACTTGTCCATTTGTGTGTGGGTCTCGAAGTCTTGGAGAGGCATTGAGGAGGATCAGGGAAGGTGCTGCGATGATAAGGACCCAAGGGGAATTAATAGGGTCTGGTAATATTGCTGAGACAGTGAGGAATGTGAGGTCAGTGATGGGGCAGATAAGGACTGTGAGCAACATGGATGAGGACGAAGTCTTTGCATTCTCAAAGAAGATAGAGGCACCTTACGATCTGGTGGCGCAAGTTAAGCAAATGCGTCGGCTGCCAGTCGTTCACTTTGCTGCCGGAGGCATTGTGACTCCAGCTGATGCTGCTCTTATGATGCAATTGGGATGTGATGGTGTGTTTGTGGGATCAGAAGTCTTTGACTGCTCAGATCCTTACAAGCGAGTTAGGGGAATCATTCAGGCAGTTGGGCACTATAATGATCCTAATGTGTTGGTTGAAAGCTGCTATGGCTTGGCTGAGGCCATGGAAGGTCTCAATAGTAGCGATGACAGGATTGAGCATTTTTAGTAGCGCCAGTCTCTAATCGAATTAACCGTTGGTATATTCATCATACAGCACATATAGTTGTATCGGTAAGCCCATTTATGTGGTTGAGCATATAGTACTTTTTTCTGTTACGGAAATAGAGTATGTACTTCTTAATCTCTTTTCTGCTATACATATTGATCTGAGATGGCTTTACCATTTATCTGGTTGCTCAGAATTACAAAGATGAGTTGATTGTTGCCTTTTATGTGAAATTTCAGTTCATAAAAGGACAATATATGATTGAGCTTATAGGTCTAGTTTGTAATAATAACAGAGGATATGCTTCATCTATATTGGTAATTGTTTTGCTCCGAATGATCTGTATTTGGCTTTACCATTCATCGAGTTTCGCTGCATTGCCTTGGTGAATTGGAATAAATTGGCTGCCTTCCATGTTAAAGTTGTTTATTTTAGTCCAAGGAGTGTGATTCGAATTCTTAGAAATCTATCAGGCTTCTAACTGGAATGATGGCTGACAATGACGATGATATACATTTACAGTTGGATCTTTGATGTCTACTAATTTACAAGATCCTAATTTCTCTTTCGGTCTATGTTGTGACTAGGCAGTGGATATTTTGATCCTGTTAACAAAATGTTTTAATAATTTACGGAAAAATTCATAACCTCCCGTCATTGTCTGAACTTGAAAGCTCTCTACAATAGGGATACTTCTAAGTTTTCTATCTCTTCTTGCTGATGTTGAACGAGTATTTAATATTGATTCAGCTACCTTGAAAAACAGATTTCAAGGGCACCTTTTTTTTTTTTTAAGCAAAACGAGAGATACGATCATCCATTGAAAAATGTCTCATTTAAGGGTGATGGGATGAACATGTCTGTTTCTGAACATAGTGTCTTAAAGGGAAACTAAGATATATTCTCTGAATTAGAGACATGGTACAAAAGACCAAATCCGTTGAATGTTTCTAATTATCTAATTTGCTGAATACTGCTACTAACTAGGAACTTGCCAACTGTGTTCATAGGCAATGAATGTCAAATGCGAAATTTTTACTTTTATTTGTTTCTGAGACACTTGTTTGAATGGTGTCTCATTGTCTTGAGTTTCTAGAAAAGGATGGATCTCCTAGATTTTTAGTGCTGCTACTTCCACTGTTTGACAGGCTTCTCATAGCAATCTCATAAGCAGCAAACACAGCACCATTCACTATAAAAGCTCTACCCACTGTAGTTCCTATACCCCTCCACAAAACATTATGCCCTTCTTCTCTGACACTCTGTCCCACGCAATCAAGGATTCCTGTGTATTTCAGTGATGATTGTGTTTGAGCCTGGAGTCTTGTCTTTATAACATCAAAAGGGTAGGAACCAATCCAACTCACTACCCCAGCTAATCCTCCTGCTATTAGCATTGTGTTCAAGCTTTCTTGACTAGTTTTTCTGCAACCTGGGTGAAGTTGTTCCCTCATATATTCATATGTCCAGAAATATACACCATGACCAGGTGCATCCCGGAGAATTGTGATGCTGAATCCCTGGAATATTCCTCGAAGACCTTCTCTTTTCCATATCTTCCTTGTGGCTGATAGAGGACCTTCACAGGATTCTTTTAATTGGCCTTTTCTCTGAAGCTGGAGGCGAATTTTGACCAGTTCTACTGGGGAGACAATTGTGCTTTGTAAAGCACCGGTTATGAGTCCTGCTAGAGCAACGCTCCTGTAGGAAGGAGGGCTATTTTCTGAGACTGATGAGTCAAAAGCTCTTGAGAGAACTGCATAAGTTTGGAAAATCATAGCATTCTGCATCCAGAAAACAAAGAGTGATCAATATGCTATAATAATCAATGACATTCTTGTGTCCAAACATTTGGGTGGGTATAAGCCAATAATTAAGACATAGAAGAGAGAAAAATGACCTGAAAAGTAATAGCGGCCAAAGGAGCAGCCATGCCCCTGTATAGAGAGGCAAGGCCTTCGTTGGACACAACATCTTTGATCAAGCTGAACACAGAAGTTGGCATGTTTGAGTTCTGTTGGTGGATTCGGAGGGTGTCCAGTGGATAACCAGAGATCACTCCAGCCATACCCCCTACACCTCCTGCCACAAATTCTCTACTCCAACTGCTTCCCACAAATTCACCCCACAGCATTCCTCTCTTATTTTGTATCAAGTCTTGTTTCTTTCTGTTGCTCGCCACGGATCAAGTCAGATTGTATCCGGCATGCCCAATTGTATTTGCGATATGCATGTAAAATGTCATAGAACTTCTGGGAAAGGTTCTGCTTTGTACTTCAATTATTGAAACCATCACAAGCTCAACAGTTTTCTAGATTCTGGCGTTTGCTCTGCAATCCAAATCCTTTTCTTGTTGGCAATGCAGACCCAAACTGTAAAACCATTGGACGTTAAAAACGTCCTTGGTTATGGCTTTTGGCTTCTGTTTCCTGCTCTGTAATTTGAGTTTGTAAACAGAGCAAGCTAAAACGCCGTTCTCTACCTGCTCTTTCCAGGCTAGATTATTCTTTCTTTTGTTCTGTTAACCCGAAACGTGATTGAATTCAAAGTTGGAAACGTTTGAGGTTCCGGCTATTGCTAAATGCTTTTCATCTGCAGCTTCTAGCGAGGACGAAAAGAAGGAAGACAGAGATAGGAAAAGAGGGACCGAAATATTTAGCAATAATAGGTCGAAACAAATGCAAACAAACGGCTTCTATTTCGTCGGGAATTTAGTGTGCTGAGAACCTGAAGCGCGAGAGACCAATGCTCTCTTTCATGAGAGGCTTGGTGTTATTGAATATGAATGGTGTGCGTTTCAGAATCTTGAGACATAATAAACCGTTGTTTTTATGTCTCAAATAAAGAAATGCACTCACCACGGCATTTCAGGAAATTTTCTCTGTATTATTATATGTAATTTACACGCTGCATGCATCGGCCATGGAAGAAATAATGATGATGATAATACAATTGTTTTTTGTATGTCTTAATCTTTGTGATGTGTCAATTATTTCCTACTTAGGTTTGCTCCACATATGGTTGATAATTAAATACAAAGGTTGACCCCAGTTAAATAAGTGGTAATATTTACCATTTATCAATGGTAGGATTATAGATTAGCCCCCATCCATGCAAGTATATGGGAAAGTAGAAAACTCTAAACATTAAACTATTAACTACTAGTCATATAAAATGCAATTTGCTGTAGGTGCTAAATCTCTTTTTATTTCAATATTAACAGTAATATTTCTATTTCCATTTGAATTCAAATTTTAAAATTTAAATCACCCAAAAAATAAAAAATGGTTAACTCGAGATATTTTTAATAAAAATTTTCTACCAAATTATTATTCGTTCTATGGATTGCATTGCAAAAAAATCTCTAATCTAATACTAGGTGATGCTTATTGTAAGACACATTCTAAAAAAGATTTATGAGCCTTAATTCAAGACTTGGAGGTAGTAATTATATATTTTTAATATTGCTTCATTTAAACTTATTAACCTTCAGAGAAAAAGTAATGCAAATTTATTTTTTATTTAAATATTAATAAAAGTTGAAGTTTATTCTTTTCTCAAATAAAATTAATGGTTTAATATTTATTAGTAGATCCCAAGATATATTTAGGGACGCAATCCATCTTCGATCATTACTGCGAGTTCTAACTAATTTCAAACTTGATGATACATCAAACGAAGAATGCTGTTTTCAAGCAATCACATTCAGAACAGTTCAGATGTTTGAGATAGAGCAGGCTTAGTTTATGTGTCACTGTCAACTCCTTTCTCTCTTCTGTATCTGTTGCAATTCAGAATCTTGATACTATTGACAAAATGTGGAGCTTAAAAAATTGATTAAACCCTTCTTGGTATTGAATGTCAATCTCAGACACACAAGGGGACTTTTTCTTAAAGGGGAGATATATTCCTCAATTGTTATGATGATACACGTCTAACCACCTTGCTAAAGCAATCACATTTCACAACAATAAGTAGCAAGACAGTCTTAGAGGAAAGCTGCAAACAAGAAATTTACTGTGCGTGTAACACAACGCACTTGGGTTCACAAATACAAGCAAGAAAGTATCTCTTAGACAAAGACCACATTAATTAGACATGCTCTCGTAGCATATTTAGTGACAGCTCAATAACTATGCGTAGGGTACTAATATGCTGGGAAAGCCTTCATTTCTTTCCACTCTTCTTCAGCCCAGAACCTCCAAAGGCCCCCTTTTGTTGTGCCTTGGATTTCAGCTCCCTTAGTGCCTGTTTCAAGCATTCAAAAGAAGTGAGTTTGAATTGGCACATTAACAACAAATCAGTTTGTAAGTACAAAATTAGAGATACAATATCGAACCTTTTCCTCTTCCTTTTTCTTCTGAAGGTTAGCCAAATCAACCTGCAAAGTACAGATATAGATACAAATCAAATGTAAGATCCCAATAAACAATAACAACAATGACAAGCCTTATCCCACTAGATAGGGTTGGCTACATGCATGACATTATTGTACTCTATCATCAACCAAACTTTTAAAAATATTGTTAACTAACATCTCTTTCAACAACATCTATAAGTATTCTTTTTTATCTTCCTTTATCCCTCTTTATAGAGTTCAAGATTATTTGTTCCACTTTCCTCACCAATGCCTCCCATGACTTTCCCATGACTTTCTCTGTACATGTCATATTTGAATACAAGCTGTCTGTTTGTGTCAGTAAATGCATCAGGGTATGAAATTGAAGACATGTTACAACATAAACGGATAAGTGAAAGTGCATAGCAGTTTTCCATGTGTAATGAATGGAGACCATAGTCCAGACCTCCATCAAAAACTAAAGACCCTAAAATGAGATCACCAAGTAACTTCCGCATGACTATTTGCATGAAATCCCAGTTTTAGCCGATGAGATCAGAGCTGGCACTAGCAAGTATTGATCTTCCAGAATGAGGTGAGATTGAACAGTTTGGTCCACATCCCTCTTCCTTACTTCACTGGTCTTAAGAGGCACCTTTTATGACCCAAAGAAGGTGCAAATTTTAGAACAAAGTGACGAATTAAAATCAGTTGCCTAGATGAACTCTCTTTGATAAGATGAAATGGGTAATAACATGGTCAACAACAATCAGTTCATCGCCCAATGATTAATCTAGAAAAATTACATGGAAGAAACGTATAGAAAAGAGGAGCAACATAAACATGCCGTATATTCCCGATACGGAGTTAAAAAATATAAGTCCTGGAAAAATCCTTTAATACTTCAAGAACATCAGCTGCAAGTCTATAAAAATAGATCAAGACTTCACAATTAATAACAACATATTTTTCATGCAATCTTAACCAACCCCAAACAAGACATCGTTCTGCTATTTCTTCCAACAGCTTTCATTACTTTCTAAAGGAAGCATATTACCCACCGTCTAATAATTTTATCTATCTAATACCGGTCAATCAAAAACGTAACTCGACTTATAGATTTCTATTCTTTTAGCCATGCTAATCAAGAAACCAGAGTTTAAGAGCAGCAAAATCCTTTAGATCGATGAAATACCTCGTCGTATTCTTTCTGATCAGACTTGGGTTTCTTCAAAGGCTTGGCTTTTCCACCTACACCGAAATATTAATCTCAGACGGAAAGAAAAATCAAGGTTCTAGGGAACAGATCAAAACACGAGAGTTTCATAGATCGAAAATAAAGGGGGAAAGCACAAGTTCAAAACATAAGAAGCATCCGCCGAATCGGAGAATCAGATGATTCCAATGACCGACATCGGCGAAGGAGCTACCTTGCTTGGACGACATGGTTGCGATGCAGAGCTAGGGTCCGGCCCAAATGCAGAAGCAAGAAAACTTTTCTCAAGCCCCGCAACCTTACCCCGTCCCACAATGGCCTCTCGCGGATTCTCACCGCTTTATATTTGTGCCGATCGCCAAAAGTAAAAGCGAGAGGCCCCTTCTCGTTCATAAACGAATAAATAAATAAAATAATTTTAGTTAACCGCTTGAAATGGTGGATTTAAATTTAAATTTTAAATTTTAAATATTATATTTTAAATATTACATTTTAAATTTTTGCATTTAAAATATTTTATTTGAATAGTTTAAAAATTTTTAAAGAGTTGAGATTTAAAATAAAAGTTAAAAATGGTGAGTTTATATTCATTTTTAAATTGGTAAGAGACACGAATCAGATATGAGAAAATATATAAGAATCATAAAGATATTAATAATAAAAATATAAAGACATGAGATATTTGAAGTGATTAAAATTTTAAATAACTAAAATGTAGAGTAAATTTAAAATTAAAAATAAATTATAATAAAAAATAAATTTGAATTTGAATCTATAATTTTTTGTATATTCAAATGAGGGATTTGAACTTCAAATCCAAACCTATAATTTTTTACGATTCAAACGAGAGATTTGGTTCAAATATAAATCTCAATCCCTGTCAATTAAAACATTAAATTTACAGGGATTTTTAATTTGGGAACAGAGTATATTAAGTGATATTTGTAAATATATTCCCCCAAAACCGTTAATTTTTGTAAACAATATTGGATTAAAAAAGGAAGAAAGAAGAACAAGAAGGGGAAGAAAATCAAATAAAAGTCAAACCTTCAACATCAAATTCATTCAAAGGCGGAGTTGATGCTCATGCCGTATAATGAACCATCTCCTATCTCCTATATGATAATCATGTTCATGTCAACATGTCTCTACCATATATTTCTAGTACTGGATTAGATTAAGCATTAGTGTTGAATTTGTTCATTTATAATTAAATTAAGTACTCTTTTAATCCTATTCATAAGCTCATTTTAATGATTTTTATTACAAAACCTATGTAAAAATTAATAAACTTTTTATGGCCCTTTTCTAGAATTACCTTTTACAAAAGAAAAGGAAGGAGGGAGAGACTGAAATCATTTTATTATTGTACTTATGTAAAGACTTTATTAGTAGACAATCTATAAGTATTTCTATAATCATTATTTAAATTTAGATATATGCTTTAGGCTTGGTAAGCTCTCAAAATTTAACTCATCTAAACTTTCTTTTATAAAAGACAACAAGAGAGAGGGGGTGCATGTGTAGAGAGTAGAATTTTTTTTTTTTTTCCCCTTAACCTTTTGGCTTGGATCTATGATATACTTCACTTGTTTGGATTTTTTTTTATGAGGACAAAATTTTAACCCCATGTTTGAACAGAGGGGAAGGGGAGTCTAATGAATTTGATTTCATAAAAAAAATGGAGTTATAAAATTTTACTAAAGAAAAGATGAAAATTAAAAAGAGTAAAGAAAATTAATTAAAATCTCCTAACCCCACTTCTCTATTTCGTTTAATTACCACAAAGAATGAAAAAAGGTTGCATGAAATCTTAAAATAAAAGGCGAAGGTGATGCTCTTAAGCTTTGGTAAATTCCTCAAATAAGTCTGACAAGAAGAGACAAGAATAAAGAGGGAATCCCCAATATTCTCTTCTTCTTTGATCACTTGTTCCCTTGAGCGACATCTACCATCATTCTATAAAATTAAACTAGTTTTACAAGCTATTAATTATAAAATAATTCACTTTGTAAATTTCATTGTTCTATTAATTGAATAGATCTTTTTAATTAAAAAATTAATTATTCCATCATTAGTAACTTATATTCCAGAAAATATAGCATCGTCATTACGTTTATCGATATTGATTTTTTCTAATAAATTGGATATTTAATTACGGCTCCATCAATTTGGCGACAACACTCTTCTCCCAAAAAAGAAAAAAACTTAAGATCATCTATCATTAAAAAATTAGCAAATTATGGGCCTATTTAATTGAGTTCCTATATTTTGCTTTCAAAACTGTTTAAGATACAATTTTTAAAATTATTTTTCAAAGCAAAATAAAAAATTATTAAATTATGTTAATTTAAAAATAGTGTTAGAATTAAAAAATGGACAAATAGTGATAGTGATCAATGATTATAAATAATGGTGACTTATGATATTAATTGATGGGTTAATGTGTAAATTGGACCTTGAAATAGTACGCAAAAAGCACCCTAGATGTTGAATTTTTAAAGAGTGCAAGATGAATCATAAACTTTTGAATTCATAATAAATTACTCCCACTATTATCTTTTTGTCAAAACTATTATTGTTCACTATAGGGCCTAGTCAAAGGCTGACATAACAGTTCCTTATTGATATATCATTTGTTAATTAGTATCACAAACCCTCAACTATTACATGAGTAGCATTCTGGATCCTAAACTTTAAATTTATGAACAAATTACTCCTATCATTTATGTATAGAATATTGACTATTATATAAATTAAATTAGCCTGAGTATGATCCGCTGTGATGAACGCATTGTTGGCGGCGACAAATAACTCATAATTTTGTGAACTTTTTTTGCAATGTTTTTCAAGGGATTGATATATCAAACTTTTGTATACTCTATAATTTTAATTTAATTTTATTTTAAATAATATTTATTTATTTAAAGGGTCAAAACTTGGGATCCCATTTGGAATGCATAAATCTGCAAATTCTAACCTGATTTGACCTTCTCCTCTATCATATAGCGTTGTCTTTCGTTTGCCGAGTCGTTCTCTTTCACCGCCAACCTTTGCTTTTCTCCATGTGTCGAGCAATTTTGCCCTGAATCCATAGAAGAGGATACAAGGTGTCCCTTTTTTAGGGCTCGCACGAGAGGCCAAAAGATCAGAATTCTGTATGTGTGTTCCCTTCATCTTTGACTGCTGCGTTCTAAAAACCTTGGATGAAGCCGCACCTATGCCTCTTCTCTCTGCATTTGTGCATGTCTCCTCTTCTTCAATCAAGGCCACTGAAGGGCTCTTTAAGGCTGAATGAAATGCTGGATCATTCAATGTTTCAATCTCCCTTATTATTCTTTTTTTTATTTTTTATTATCATTTTTTTGGATTTTTTATGTGTAAATATATTTTAAAGGAAACAATCAGATTTAAAAGAATTAAGAAGTTGATTCTCATGATTTTTTGATTGTTGAGATAATTTGGTAAAGAGATTTTTTTAAAAGATTTAAACAATATTTTCAACTCTATTTTTCAAAATTAATTTTGAAGAAAAATTAAATTTATTTATCTTCTTTATTTTTTATTTCAAAAAAAATTCTTAAAGGATTAACTTTTAATTTTGGTTAAAAAGAATTAATATTTCTTTTTTCTATTTTCAATCATTTTTTTAAATTAACTCTTGAAAAAGAATTAAATTTTATTTTTATATTTTTTGATTGTTTTAACTAATTAAAAAAATAAAATCCTAGTTAACAGGATAAGGATAAAATAAAATCAAAACCTTTTAAATTAATTTTTTTATCTTTTCATTTTATCTATATTATTAAAATTTTATTTTTTGGTTAAATTTAATATTTTTATTATGATAATGATTATTATTATTATTATATTTAAAATACATGAATAAAATATAGTGTTCACAAGTAGCACCTAATATATTAACAAGGGTTAATGTGCAAGATGGACTTTGAAGTATTACGAAAAAAATATCCTGAACTCTAAACTTTTAAAATGTATAAAATAAAGTAAATTACCCCCACCATTATCTTTTTGTTAACGTCGTTACTGTTTACCATACTATTCATTGTGGGCCCCAGTCAAATGCTAACGTGATAGTCCCTTACTGATGTATCATTTGTTAATTGGTGCCACATACCCTAAATTATTGTGTAAGTAGCGTCTTGGACCTTAAACTTTTAAATTTCGATCAAGTTATCCCCACCATTTATATATAGAATGTTGACTATTATGTAGATTAAATTAGTCTTAACATGATCCGCTGCAGTGATGCATTGTTGGCGAACGACCCATAATTTTGTAAAATGATGTTCCCCCCCTTTTTTGTAATGTTTTTCAAATGATTGATATTTCATACTTCCGTACACTCTATAACTCTGGTGTAGTTTCATTTTGAATAATGTTTATTTATTTAATGATAAAAATTTGGGATTCCATTTGAAAAAAAAGAGTTTAAGTTTAAGAGGATTTTATAAACGATGAATGCAAAAGCTGATGATTTTATCAACAAATTTAAAATCAAAATTAACCAATTAATTAAAATCCTCTGATATTTAAACTTATTTTAAAATAAAATCTCAAGTTTTCACCATTAAGTAAATAAATATTATTCAAAATAAGACTAAATCATAGTTATACAATATATGAAAGCATGTGATAACAATCGTTTGGAAAACATTGCAAAAAAGGGAATCATTTCATAAAATTATAGGTCGTTAGCCACAGCTAACGATGCATTCACCACAACAGACCATTTAGAAGCTAATTTGGTTTACATAATAGTCAATATTCTATACATAAATGATGAGGGTAATTTGCTCTAAATTGCAAAGATCAGGGTCCAAGACACTACTCACGCAATAGTTTAAGGTCTGTGATGCTAATTAATAAATGACATATTAGCAAAGACTCACCATATTAGCATTTGACTGAGCCCTACGTTGAATAGTAATGGCCTTGAGAAAAAGATAACGGTGAGGTAATTTGTTATGAATTTAAAAGTTTAAGATCATTGCACATTTTAAAAATTCAAGGTCAAGGAAACTTTTTACATAATACTTCAGGGTCTATTTTGTACATTAATCTAAACAACTCTTCAATTCTGCTAAAATTATTAAAAATTTATTTCTAATTTTAAAATTTAGACTTTTGAATAATTTTGAACACTATTAAAATATTATATCAAAGATTCTAAAATAAAAATTTATTAATTAAAATTTATTTTTAAAGTTTAAAGTATTAATTTATCCTCCTATCAAAGATATACAATTTATCCTCGTATCAAATTGTCCTACACACCCTCTCTTCAACATAAATAACATTAAATAATGATAGATATAAAAATAATTAATTATAATAAAAATATTAAACTATAGAGTGAAAATTACCAAATTATATCGAGAAAGATTTTCTTTATTATAAAATTCATAATTCATTAATTTTCGTTGTACATGCATGTTTGAAAGATTTTTTTTATACAACATATCTGGTTAGACATTAAAAAAATTACCAAATAAATATGTTTAAAAAAATTTAAATGATCAAATTTATCTTTTTATACTATGATAAAAATAATAAAATATCTGCACTAAAATTGTTTTGTAGTAACTTAAATAATTTTTAATAAATATTTAATTTTAAAATAGTGACATTTTAGTCTAATACTTGTGATTTAAAAATTAACTAACTATTGAGTGGATGGAAATTAAATCACTACTAGAAAACAGGCAATTTGTGATAGACTTTGTTCTTGATTTGCAATGGATTTTCCATCCCAAATATGTGACAAAAATGTGTATATCATGAATTTGCTCGTCACAAAGTTGAGATACTACTTTTGCAGTGGAATATTTGTCCTAAATTTAGGATGGATTTTGGCATCACAAATTTGTGACAGCAAACATTATCACAAATTCAAATTTATAATCTTTTGTGTATCCAAATAAAAAATTTAATCCAAATTTAAATTCAAATTGCTATTAATTCAAACACACTATAGAAAATAATAATAAATTTATATGGAGTGTGAATAAATACTAGAAGAGAGATTGAAATAAAGGAGAATGGCACCTAAGGCTTCCAAATGAGAAAAAATTATAATGAGGGCTCATTACAATTGAAAGTTCATCTATTTACGAGTGAGTTAATGAACCTGTACTTGTAAATAGATGAACCTTCAATTATATTGGACCCTCATTGTTTTTTTTCCTCCTTTGGAGCCCATACTGCCATTTATCTTTGAAATGATGAAGATGTTGCATGAAACCTTCAAAAAAGGTTTCTCTACACTATTTTCTTGTGAACTTTCAAAGCAAATAGTGAAATAATTAATCAAGCTAGCTAACTCCTATGAAAGAAAAGTCAAGCGAATTATAAAAAATAAAGGATATAACACAATGCACTCATACTTGATTAAGGAATCATATGCATGGAACACACATGTTTACTTTTATTTTTGAGTGGAAAAGCTAAGCCACACTAAGGAAGAAAAGTAATGAAAAGCAGAGATCGTAATAATGCATCTACATCTGACAAAAACTCGGAAGCTAAATTAATAAGCTTTAAACTTGGATTGGAATATCTGCTTGGCCGCGTGGTCATCCCATTCCAAATTGTTCCACCAATTTTCTGGTCCTTGGATGAGTGTCAACTTGAGTTTGGCAGAATTGGAATCAAGTGGTAACTTTTTCAGCTCTGGACAATCATATATTGTTATGGATTTGAGGGAAGGAAAAGGCAAGGTTGCCTTGTGGATGCTCTTAAGCTTTGGTAAAAAGCTCAATTCCAGCGTAACAAGAGACAAGAATAAGGACGAATCCACAATATCCTCATCTTCTGTTGCTTCTTCTTTTTCTTTTATCACTTGTTCCATTGACTCACATCCAAGAATGACAAGTTCTTGAAGGAGTGGAGCATGCCTGAGCCATGTCGCATGAGATACTGAACATGAATAGATTGCCACCATTGAGAGCTTGGTTAGATGCAACATGTACCGACAACAAAAGAATATTCCTTGCTTCTAATAATATTCAACAAAGACGACTTAATTTCCCGCAAGTGCTTCATTTTTTACATGCATGATACTAATAAATCGACATTCTGTAAATACCTGCCTTGAATAGAAAGGCTGCATGTACAACTTTGCAATTTGATTGAGTTGAATAATTTGCTGAGACTATCTTGACTCCTTATTCGTATACATAATTCTTCAATATCAGGTAGCGATTCTAGCTCTTCTAAAATGTTCCCTTCCCGATTAATCTTTGTCTTGTCATCAAGTCTAAACACTTTTAATTGTTCAAGACTTGATACCACTCCCATTGGAATATTCCATTCCATCACCTCGTATCCCCACAAGCTAAGAAACTTTAAATTTATCAAGTACAACAAGTTCATGAAATACTTTGCTCTTGGAATATCTTCCATTGGCAAAGAAAGATATTCCTAAGAAACTAAACCACCAATCTCTAGAAATAATCGTTCTCTAACTTCTACATCCAAGACTCGCAATCTCTTCATGTATTCAATATCTACTTGACAAAGTATATCGACATCACCAATTTCCAATAAAACTAGTGTTGTGGCATTTAGAGTATCTAGGATTTTCTGTGATTCCCAATAATTCATGATTGAAATTCTTGGCAAGTGTTTCATATTACCTTGATCATGTGATATCCAGAGTGCCATGTCACGGATCATATCATGCATTTTAATTGTACGATTCATAAAAAGATCATTTTCAACACCCTCTAGCAAGAACAAAAGCTTCCACTTTTCAATAATAGACTCCCCATAACCATGCATATCTTGTACACTCTTTATCATAGCTTTACAAAACATTTCTCCCACATCCATTTATCGATGAGATCAGGAACTAGAATCTCACAATCCTTTGGGTATAATGCACAATACAAGAAGCAACTTTTGTGTACTTCATCCAAACGATCATAACTAAATTTAAGGACAGATAATACTTTCATCTTCAAATTTGGTGCAGTAAAAGAAGAACTTGTTAATTTACTTATGAAATGTTCCCAAGCTTCCAATATCTTCACTCCAGCCATGGCACTTCCTACCACAATTAGCACAAGTGGTAACCTTTTATATTCTTTAGCCATCTTCTTAGTAAGCTTTAAGGTCTGACCTCAAAGTTTCCACGCCAACTTTCATTCAAAATAGCTTTGATGCTTCTTCCTCTATCAATATTTCTACCTTGAATGGTCTTTCACACTTTTGCATAAACATCTTCTGACCGCGTTGTGCATAACATTTTGCATTGAAAATTAGTCTCCTTTGGATGTGGCACTCCCACCATCAATTTCAGGTCCAATGTATCCCATATGTCATCTAATAATAAGACAAATTTCTTTTTTTCAAGGACTCTATATATCTTTGCTGCCTTGTCATCTTGATTACTACAACTATTCCAAATGCCATAATCAATCCCAACCTGTTTTCTAATATTATCCATGATATTATCCAAGTTGGGCTCTTTCAATACCACCACCCACATCACAACATCAAAATCCAACCTTCTCTTCTCAGGTTCATTGTTAATTTTCTTTAATAGGATAATTTTTCCCACCCCACCCATTCCATATAAACCAATAACACCAACATTCTTTGCTTCAATGCTATTCCACACCTTATCAACCATCAAATCTAATCCCACCACTTCATCTTGAGGCATCTCATTTGCTCTGAGTGGTACTTTGTGTGCAATTTTAAAATCCTTACCGAAGCTTTTCCCCTCAGTTGTTAGTTCATCCACATCCTTGAGCTTCTTAGCAATGATCTTTCCAAGCTTGTAGCTTGACATGCAATCCTTTGAACACCTTTTACTAAAACATTTGCTCTGAATTTCTTGGTCTCCTTGTGCTTCAATATCTTTTATTTTCTGCAGTGAATATAATTAAGATTGTTAATTAAGTGCACAATCTTCTCTTTACTTATTTGTGGGTCATGACCTTGTAGTAAGTAGTAATTAAATATATATACTTTTGAGTCATGTTTCCATGTGCACATGACATGATCTTTGCATATACATTCTAATTTCGATTTTCACTGTATTGAAACACGAAAAAGGAAACATTTTTTTTGCCGGCGTTCGCACAAATTCAAATACTAGAATTAATTAGTTAGAAAATATATATTATGATGCCATGAAATTGAAACATACAGATTCTAATGATTCCCAATTTCGTGTACTATTTTTATCTCCATGAGAGTTGAAATTAACATATTCTTTTTTATTCTTCCTTGATTGCATAAAAAATAAATACTTTATTCTTGAATAAATTGAAGTTATAAATATTTTATACATCGAACATAGAGAGTATTTGCTTATCATCGCTAATTAAGTCCATGTGACTTTACTTTCATAGAGGGAAATTAAAGTTCAAATCTAGAATCTAAATCAAAGAAAATTAATTGACAAAGAAAGGTCTTACAAATTCAAAGAAAAAGACATGTTAACAGGTAAATCATAACTTGAGAAATTACCTGTTGAAGGGTTTCAACTCGTTGCAGCCAAGCAGTGAGTTGATGTGATATTTGCATCTCTGGATTGTTGTCAGCTTCTTCAATTTGTGCTTCCACGTCTTTCTTAATGTCTTCAAGCCTTCTATTCTGATCTTCCAGCTTCTGCAGATTGTTTTCCAAATCAAAGACGAAATCAGCCTCTTGTTTGACGCAGCCACAAAAACACTTGGCAGCTTCCCTTATGACTCCAACAAAGGAAGACGGATCCATTTTAGTGTCGAGCATGAACAGATCTGTGAGAGATGATTAGGCGTGGAGGAAGACTCAACTGAGAGAGAGTAAAGTTCCCTTGGATGTGATGCTGAGAGAGAAATAAATGCATACTAGTTCTGCAAGAATTTTGGATCCCAGTTGGAAGACATGTTGCTCAGTCCATGTTACTGTCAAGTGTCAAGTCATCTCTCAATTTTTCCCGTGAAATTCACAGGAGGCTCAGAAAATGTAACCTTAAAATTATAATTTTTTAAAAAATATTAAAACACTACTATAATCTATACATATTCAAATTACCAAGAATTTAAAATCATAATTTACAAAAAGGTGATTTAGTTCTAAATGGATTTTTGTCCCTCAATGGTGGTGGAAATGATTGGTGTTATATAGGGACCCTACTTATGTAAGGAAAGAAATTTTTTCAAGGTGAATATCTACTACATTGAAGCAATTAACTTAATTATCAAAGGATGTAATGTCAATTATCCTTTTAAAAATATTATGGAGCAAACTAAATTTTTTTTCTTTATGAAAGATCAAATTGAGTTAAATCATGTGCTTAGAGATGATAACTGAGATGTTGATTATCTTGCTAGAATATGTGATATTTTAGAAGTTAATTTTTGTCTTTTAATCATCATCCATGTCTTGATTTTGGTATGGAAGATGATGAAAGGGCACAGGTTTTTTTTTTTTACTCTTTTGTTTTTGATGCATTTTGTTCCCTTTATTTAGTTTTGTAATTTAGTTTCCATTTCAAAAAATAAAAAATAAAAAGGTGAAGATGCATTTTTAGTTGAAGTTGTTTTGGAAGAGCACTCAGTATATTAAAATATTTTGTGTTAAATATTAGATGATTTAATGTTAGGGTATTAGATATTTCAATTTAATTACTTAAAGGGCAAAAATGTTACTTAAAATATATTAGGATGTTAAGTGCTTCTCAAAGCACATTTTAAAAATAGAAATGTACATTTACCCTTTATAAAATAAAGTTTGTATTATTTTTGAATATATTTTTTAAAAAAATAAAATTGAAAAGCATGCATGTAATCATAGTTTATTTGAGTATTTTTTAAGAAAATATGATATGATATTCATGATTAATTTTAGTATGGAATAGGAGTGTTTGTATTTTTCTAAAAAAAAATTATAATTTTAGATTCATAATTAATTTTAATTTATAATATAAGTGTTTGGATATATATTCACAAAATCATCATTTTACTTGATTTTTAATTATACTCAAAATTAATTTCAATTATTAATTAATTTTATAAACAAAGTCAATCATTTAAATTAATTTTAACCATAATCAATTCTATTCTGGCCCAAAAAAGGCCCTAATCAATTTTATCTAACTTTAATCTCAACACACCCAAGGTGGTAAATTTTTTTTTATTCGGAAATATCAGTTCGGTCCATCACAAATATAAGATTTTTTAGTCCCAAATTTATAAAGACAATCCATAAAACTCAAATGTCTTGTTTGCCAAACTGCGTCAAAACCATTCCACGAAGAAGTACTGTGTAGTGTGTACCCCCATCAAAGCTCACCGTAGCCATCATGCCCAGCCAAGAACGCCATGGAACCAGCTTCCTTTATAGGACCCATGATTATGGAAGTCAAGACTTGGACCATTTTACCCCCTCCCACCCTCTCACCCCACCTTCCCCACCTCTCTCCCGCGACGTTGAGTCGTAGACTGCCTTCTATCATCTTCAACAAAGATTTGCAATGCCACTCTTTACTCAATTAAGAGAAGATTTGATTCATGGTTTTAATTTCACCCATGAAAGTCTGCGTAGATTTGGTTCAATTGCTTGTTCGAAAATGGCTGTCTGCTCCCTGATAAACATGTAGTTGATTTCTGGTTTTTCTCTTGCTGTAAATCGAGTCTAAGCAATTTATATCTTATCACTTTTTTTTTTTTTTTCCAAATGAATCATTATTTTGTGGGGAGACATAAAACAAAGTGAAAGAATGGGCGAGACCAATGTTGTAACTTGCAATAAGGATCAATAGTGGGGTAGATTATTTTTGCCTTTCAACTTTGCTTCGAAGAAGCAACTGAACTCAAATATTTTATAATAAAAAATATTAAAAAATTTAATGTGAGGCTCACTAATAATAAACAGAGACGGTGAGTTAATGATAGAGCCGTCAATTAAAATCAAATTCATCAGGCTAGCTTTTTTAAGTTCAAAAATAAAAGGGCCGGCCTTTTAGGATTAGGGTCAACCCTTTTAAGCCCTCTTATATTTTTTAAAATTTAATATAAAAAACAAACACTAATACAAATACATTATATACTTAAAGAATTAAAAAAACTGAAAAACCTAGCTTGCCCCCTCATAATCATAAAACTATGTGATGTTGCTAGTAAAGTTTAATTGTTATTAATATTGATTTTGTAATGTTGCTACTTTTGATTAGACTTAATTTGTTGTTGTGTGTATTATCTTAAAATTATTTTTTAAAACTTAATATTACGTGTAATAACTTTTTTAAGATTTTAAATATGTTTTTTATATTTTTAAATTAAATATATATATATATATATATATATATTTGTAGGGTGCTGATCCAGGCTGGCCAAAAGGAAATCCCAAAATGAAATAAGGTTTAACAAGACCAGTCCATCTTGGCTTTAATCCTTTCAGGGCCGACACTAATTGATAGCTTTAGTTAACAACAGAGAAGAAGAGAATGTTTAACGTTGAGAAGATACAATTCATCTATAATTAAGTTTAAAGTGTGGAGTGATTTTTTGAATAAAAATAACCTTTAATTCATCACATTATCAATACTATATACTCATTGAGATTGAGAGCCATAAAAATTATTGTATGGTTTTTCACTAGTTGTGGAATGAAGTGGAGTATAACTGGAACGCATGACTTCCAATATATTTCATTATGCTTTCTCCTCTGCGTTTTTTGTTTTTGGTTTATTGAATAAAACTGAATATCATTTATAATCAGAGCAAAACTAGAAGCTTGTAATAGACTACAAGAGAGTCAAACTCAATCATCAGACACCCCCTTTTAGCAGATTAAGGTGGTGGATGATCACCTCTGCGTATTTTTAAGAATTGCATCATATCAAACATAGAGTATTCAGAAAAATAATAAAAAATCAGAGGTAATTGACAATAATGCTGACGTGGCTGTAGAGTATGGGCAAAGTAAATACAGATGTGCAGGTAAAGATTTTCGAGTCAACAAGACGTCGGTGGGTGTACAATTAGTTGGGGAGACGAGTTTGATAACCGTAGGTCAAACAAAACTCAAAAGGTCTCTAGGATTCAACACCACGTGCTTATATAATCCACGGCTACCAAATCTTTCAACTAATATTAGTGAGCTTGGGCTTGGTCTTTTTTTAGTTACACCGAATTGGGCCACTCTTCAAGCCCAGGCCCCGTACTGGAGTTGCATCTATTTGTGTTTGAATCATTTTTAATTTAAAATATTTAATTAATTTGATACTATGACTTTTTGGCCAAATGAGATTATTTTTTCTTAAATTTGTGAAGAGGCTGCTAGCCGTATTGAGTTTTTTTTTTTTTGCACTTAACTGTTTCATGGCCGGGACACTTCACCCCTGGCCATTTATGTCAAATCCAGGCATTCATTCATGTTAAATATGTATTACCATATCTATCTCCTCATTTTTTTAATAAATATTCTTTTTAATTAATCCGGTCCCTTGAAGTTATTTAGTTAAATCTAATAAGATAATTCAGACTAGCATGCATTATTATTTTAAATGGGTCAATATTGCACAATCTAGTCTAAACTCTAAAACATAAATTAAATCACACTATTAACAAATTGTTATGGGAAGATGTCATAAATAAACACACACACACACAATCCTTGTAGGGAAGGTGTTATATAGTTTTTAAAATTATACACCTATTTATCTTTATTTAATAAAATGTCTCAATTACGTAATTTTTTTAATTAAAAATATTTTAAAAATGAAAATAAAATGCTTTTAAAATATGTAAATAATAAATAAGTACTTCAAAATGTGACAATTATTTTATAGTCTCTTAGGACTAGATCGGCATTTTGATTTTTTGTGAAATGATACATTTGCCCCATCCCCCCCTCTCTCTCTCACCGCTCTAAATTGTCTAGCCAACAACTGGAGGAAAAATAAGATCTTTCTAAACTTTTCTTGTTCCGTCAATTCCACCAATTGTTTGATCTCCATCCATAATCTCATCCCAAACACCTTCTTCAAAGACCCCTCCTCCTCAAGACTGATTTAGACTACACCTATCATTTCAATTCATCTCTAAGGAACAAAAGAAAATTGTACCAGTAGCACCATATCCATTAGGTCACTCTTTTGCCCCTTATCATTTTTTTAATATAAGGCCGTGAAAAAAGAGCCATGCAAAAGTTACAGAAATCTTATCATATCAAATTTCAAGAAGATTTTGTATTTTGTATTTTGTAGACAGTTGATTAAAAATAACAAGGTTTAAATTGTCCTGAGTTGCTTGGCATATGAGCATATCAACTGCATTTGTTAGCTTTGATTGAATAAAAATATGATCAAAAGTAACCATTCAATTTTTCATTACAAACTCCTTAATTTTCTTAATATTTTTTGGTAGAGGATGAATTTAAAAAAAAAAATTATGCTAGATGAGTGAAAAGGCTTCCATAGGATCAATGTGAATATTAATTCTTATAAATTTTGCATTCTAACATTGATGAAGACTTTCTAAGATACTCAATAGTTTAGTCACAATACTAAGGTGATAGTCGAAATATTTTAAGAATCCCATCATCCAATTTCCTTTCTCATCACATATGACGCTGCCACAAGAGCTTATTGAATTGTTGATATCAAATCTGATCTATCTTATTTCTAGAAGGCTTCAGTTAACTTCAAATTTAGCCCTGCTCTTATTCAAAATATTTTCTCTTGATTGAATCTTCATATCATTAATTACTTGTTAGGTGCAAAAAAAGCAATGCTTTTATCATGGTTGTCCTCTTCGTAATAAATCTTCTTACATCGCGTTTTTCATATGGCCCCTCATTTTACAAGTGTTAATCAAAAACAAAACTCTATTGTCACCAATGATAGATAAGAACTGCATTTTGAATTTTTTTTCCATCGTAAATAATTTCTTTCAATAATTTTGTAATCTCTCATTTGTTGAAGGAGAAGGGGCTACAAGGTAGCCACGGGTTAGCGATTAAATTATTACAGTCGGCAATTGAAAATGTACACAAACATCAAACTAAAGAAGTTGAAACTGCTCAGCGGAGCGCTTGGCCTTGCAATAGGTGGTTTTCGTCGTGTTCAAGGGGACCACATGATGCCGTGAAGCCGAGAAAGAGACCAACTTCTCCATAATCCTTATGGTTTGCACAGAGGAAGAGGACATGAGAGAGAAGCCACGGTGAAAGAAAGAGGTGAAATGGGGATAAATATGCCATTTTACAAAAACTAAAATGCCAAACAAGTCCCAAAGAATTACATAATAATTATCAAATTTTGGGGTACAAATTTTTTATTTGCATATTTTGAAGGTAATTTGTTGTCATTTTCCCTAATATTTTTGAGAAACTTTATTAAAACATCTTAAAAAATTAAAAATGCTTTATATTTTTTTATATAATTTTTTTTAAAATGTCTTATAATATTAAATGGATAAAATATTAATTTTACAAGATTTGGTCGGTTTAATAACATTGGTAATCAATTTTAGTGGTTAAAATTATGATTCTATAAAAGTATATCCAAACACTTTAAAAATATGAGTCTTAGTCTCAAATTTATAAGAATGATCTAGAAAACTTAAATGTGTAATTTGCAGTATTTGCAATTGTCTGAAAAATATTTACATCTTATTCCCTCATAGGGTGCTTTCTAGAAGGATTATTCAGTCTTTTATATAATACATTTAATATAATATTAATTATATTTTTTAATATTATTTTTATTTAAACTCATTAACTATGAATGAGAATATAATATAAAATTGAAGAGATTTCAAATTAATTAGGTAGGGGTAAAATTAAAAATTTAGTATATCTTCACACAAAGTTAATGATTTAACTAACTCTTATTAATTCAAGTGAAGTAATTAAAAATACTTTATTATAAAGACAAAAAAAAGTACTCCTTTAGTCCTTATTATTAGGGGTGTTCACGGGACGAAACGAGACCAGAACACCCCTATCCCGTGTTCCATCCAAAAAAAAAAGATCGAAATTAAATTTTAGTTTCACGTCCTGTCTTGTCCTGAAAGTCATTCCATTTCATTAAGAATCGAGATGAGATCGGGATGGGACTGAGATGTCCCGCCGTCCCAATAAATCGGACAGTGTCATAGAAATATCTGGATAATAATATTATTAAATTTTAAATTATATAATTTATTAAGTTTAAAATTAATACAACACAAGTATATAAATCACAATAATTTAAAGTCAATTATTGAATTATATTAATTACAACTACACATTATGATAGCAATTACAAGTGATCTTAAGGCTATAAGAACAACAACAATAGACAAGTCAAGTACAACATCGAATCATTATTCTTCTACTTTAGTTGAGATATGCTAAATTAATTACTCTTTCAAAAATAAAATAAGAAATATAATATAAATAAAATTTATTAAATAGATAGATATAAAAATAAATTATATTAATATAATTAATATACTATAAAGAAAGATATTGTCATGTTTACTCTATATTATTAAAATTATCAATCTAAAAAATTTTAGCTTTATATAAGAATTGCAAATATTGAAATTATAAATTGATATAATCAATATAAGTATAAATTATATTAATATATTTAATGTATATTTTTAAAATAAAAAATAATACGTATAATATTTGAGATGGGATGGGACATCCCGATGGTAATTCAGCGTCTCGTCTTGTTCTGGACCCCTTTCCTGTCTTGTCACACAAAGTCCTATCCTGATTATTTTTGGGTCAGGACAAGACTTGCCCCGATATGATAGGGACGATACCAAGCTAATCGAAATGAGTACAAGATGAACACCCCTACTTATTATAAGACATGTTTAATCAGTCCACGTATATTTAAAAAAATTGGTATTATAAAATAGTGATACATGCCTTTATTTTTATCGTTGACTTTAAATAATAATACAATTATATTAAATACATTTACGCTAATCAAGAAGGGATGAATTTAAAAAAAATAATTTAATCACTACAAGTTGTCTTATATTTTAAATTAAATATTACTTCTATAAAATATCTTATGAATAAGATGAGAGGAGGTATGTTTTAGCAATTTTAAAACCTAGCTTTTATTAAATGAATCATTATTTCGTGGGGAGGCATAAGGCAAAGTGGAAGCGTGGATGAGGCCGATGTTGTAAGTTACAACAAGGCCCAATAGTTGGGTGGGTATGTTTTTAGTAAAAAATTTGTCACCATTTGAAGGGTAGTTAGCTTTACCTCTCCCTGCCACCACCCCTCTTTTTCTCTTTACTTCTTTCACTTCCTTCCTTGCTTCCTTGATCTCCTCGCTTCCATATTTTCCTCCACTTTGCCTTCGCCACCGCCATAACCATGGTTTGCCCTCCCTCCCTCTCTCAGATTGAGACACGTTCTATTCTCTGGTGCCTGTCTCTGATATTGATGTCTCTTTCTGTGTGTGGTTGTGTGTGACAGCAGATATCGATGCCAGTTCTGATGCTGAGGTCCATGTTGACTATGCTGAGAGCACTTGTGCGTGAACCCGCCGCCACAGTGACCACCATCCTCTTCTACACCAATCTCCTTCCTCGCCATCTTTACTTAGAGCGATCTCTCCGCCCAGACCTTCTTCACCCTCACAACTATTTCTTCCATCTTCTTATCAACTTCCTCACCTGTCTCTGGTACCTACTCCATCTCTACATATCCCTCTTCATCCCTATGAGTCTCTATTTACTTTGACAATCTATTTGATGTTTTTCACTGATGACTTTCTCTTTTGTTTTCTTCAGATCAGAGCTACGAATGAGATCAGTTCATGAACTCATGAAACTCAGCGTTGAGCCTCACACATGTTTATCGTACGTTACTTGTATCACAAGAATAATGGGAGCTTCACTGATTATAATAAGCAAGCTGAAAGCTTCCTCCTCCTTCATATATATATTCATTATTATTCGTTCTTATTATATATGCAGCGCATGTGTGGAAGATAGGATATTGAAGTTGTAAATTTGTCAGTGTAGGAACTGAATCTAGCTAGCTGGATGGTTGTTAATTGAAGAGAAGGTCCGATCAAATTTCAGGGAATTATCATATCATCAATATTATGCATTGAGCTAGATTGAGAGCCAAAATTATTTGAGGATTTATCACGTAATTTATGTATGCACAAGTGTAATTTGAACATGACTTAAATTCCAAGATACTACTTTCTTTTTTTCCATTATTATGCTTTGAAGTACTACTTTAATCTTTAATAGATAACTTTCCAATTTTATCATTCTTTTAAATTTATAATCATAATAAATTATTGTTAACCAATAATCACCATAAAAAGTTTCCAAACATCCTTTATATTAAGGACGACTGGAGGGAGTGTCTCAACGCAATTTTTTAAGAATTACATTTCACATCAAGCATGGATTCAGAAAAATAATAAAAAATCAGCGGTAACGACAATAATGCTGACGTCACTGAAGAGTATGATCAGAGTAAATACCAGGGCACGTTTCGCCCTCATCAAGTGCTCATCGTCCCAGAATTAATCAGGACAGTTGAGATTAAACTATATTTTTTTAAAAATAAAAATTTATCAAATTTTAAATAAGTATATTTATTTTCAATCATTTATATTTAATTAAATATGTCAAAATTTAATATTAATTTTTTTATAATTTTTATAAATTGACCATACAAATTTATTTTATACTATTCAGATCAAAATTTTTAACTTGTCATATTTTCAGATTTAAAACAGTTCAAAATAAATCTATATGGTTAATTTATAAGAATTATAAAAAAAATACTATTTAACTTAGACTGACATAATTAATAAATTTATTAAATTTTATAATTTTTTATTTTTAAAAATAAAAAAGTAGTTAAATAGAAATCATTCAAATTTATTCAAATTACTTTAGGGGTGATCTGAAGACAACGGGACGTGCTCCCGAGCAACTGCAGGTGTGTAGGTAAAGAATATTGAATCAACAAGACGTTGGTGGGTCGTGGGCGTAAAATTAGTTGGGGAGACGAGTTCAGTAACCGTAGGTCAAAGGTCTCTATGATTCAATGCCACGTGCTTATATTTTATACTTAAAAAATATAAACTAAATTTTTAAAAATTTAAGAACATGATCAATTTATATTGACATATAAAAAATTTATTATTAATATATAAAAAATTTATTATTAAAAATTTTAAAATTTACAACAGATTTATTGTTTATATACAATGATATATCATTAATAAATATAACAAACTAATCATAATATAAAATATAATAAATGTTGGATTATTTGTTTAGTTTGATCCTGTAATATGAATTATTTTTACAAAAGCCTCTTTTATATTATTATGGCCACGTGCGATTATTTTTCTTAAATTTGTGAAGAGTCTGCTTGCAGAATTGAGTTTTTCCCCATGCTTCACCCTTGGCCAATTTTTTTATTTTTAATACGACCCTTGGCCATTTGTGTCAGACCTAGGCACTCATTCGTGTTAAATATGTATTACCAGATCTATCTCCTCATTTTTTAATAAATATTCTTTCTAATTAATCCAGTCCCTTTAAGTTCTCTAGTTAAATCTAATAAGATAATCTAGACTAACATGTATTATCATTTAAATGGTTCAATATTGCATAATATAGTCTAAAACATAAAATTAAATCATACTATTGACGAATTGTTATGGGAAGATGTTATAAAAGACACATACACACCCAATCCTCGTAGTTGTTGGAGCTTAGCTGCATTGTGCCTGCGCAAGTTCAATTGTATGCTTAACATTTTTTCGGTCATGAATCTGTCATTTTCTTAGAATAAGGGTCACACTACTATGAAATTATAGGAGCGCATTTCTAAAATTAGAAGGGGAGCATATCAAATCAATAAAGTATATGAAACTTTAAAATTCATTAATTTTATTTAAAATTTAATAAAATTTTAATTTTATTTTTATTTAATATATATACTTTAATAACGTAGTTTTTTTTATTGATACTTAATAGAAGGTAATGACAAAAGTTATAATAAAAATAACTCATGTGGCTTATTCTTATAAATAAAATAAAAAATATTCTCTATCTACTATTTTATTAAAAAAATATAAGATATGTTTTTAAAAATTAAATGCTAAATATGACATTTTGTAGGATTTTAATTTAATGTTTTGGCAAACAAAAAAGGTGTAATTTATGTGCTTTTTGAAAAGTGTCCATCACTATATATTATTTTAAAATAAAAGATTCTATTAAATAAGAATAAATATAAAAAAAAATTATATTAATTTAAAAATAAATAATTATTTTTATTGAAAGATGAGATTGAATTAAAAATATTTATATTTTTTAATATAAAATTATATATATTATATATATATATATCTCATATTTTGGTTCGCTGGGAGATGCTGAGCATTAGTGCTCTTGCAATCAGGGTCTGCTTGTGAGCAGTTAACTTTGATCATTTCCCTTTGCTCCCTCAGTCAGTCCTTATATATAAAATATTGTAATTAAATTTTACATATCAATAAAAGTTTATTATTTTGTTAAACTCATATAAAAATATAATAATTTTATTTTTTTTTTTATTTTTAATAATATCATAATTAATATCATGATAGTTGTAAGAAAAATATGCATAATAATTTATTTTATTTTTCAAGACATTACCTAATCACTCAAAAAATTATTGCCACCCCTTACATGCAGAAACAAAATAAGTTTATAAAAAATACTTTATATATAGGGATGGAGGAAGTACACCTTTGAGGCAAAATACATATTCATCTCTATATATAAGAAGTCTTTTAGAATTTTTTATTTTAAATATAAAAAGATTGTTAACATTTTTTTAATGAATGAACCATTATACTTTTATTAAATTAAAAAATACTCTTATTATTTATTTAAAAAAATATTTATTATTTATTTATAATAATTAAAAGTAAAATTAAAATGTTGTTATGTTTTTAATTAGATGAATAAATTTTATTGATTTACGTGATTTAATTAAAAGTACGTTACATATAGAGACAAATGGGATATATACTTTCTCTCTTTTTTTTCCTGTTGCTTTTTCATTCCCTAGGCACATATATTTTACTGTTTGACATTGACTCGTTTACACTTTACATTCCCTCTACTGCATTGCTTTTATAAGTTGGCTTCAGTCTTTTTTTTCGGCCAGAAGTTGGCTTCAGTCTGCTACTATTTTCATTTAGTATACAAGTTAATGATTTTATTTGTTTTAATCCGCATCTTAAACTAGCATATGAGAAAACTGTAATAAGAGTCGACCTTCGGAACTCATTTTGTTTGATTAGAAGTTAGCCCGAAAATTCAAGATCCTCTCTCATGCCTCGCATGCACTATGTTTTCACCTATATATATATATATATATATTATTCTCTAATTAAATTAAATTGAAGCAATAGGGGACTTACCTAGAATTTATGTAAACATTCCACAAAGTATATGAATGTATATTCCTCAATGATAAATGATGCTAATTTGAATAGGTGATTAGACTAGAGAGGCACAAGTGAAATAGGCACCACTACAGAAAATGGCTGCGGGAATGTTCATATAGAAGCGTTCTTGCTTAAAAACGTTCTTTAAATATGATATGAAACATACCGAAACGTTTTTTTATGGAAAACGCTCTGATATGATGCGTCATACGGGAGCATTAAGTCTCATAAACTTTCCTGTAGGTGCTGCAATTTTTTTTTTTTAAATAAACTGAACTACGGGAGTTTTTGAGCCTAAAAAATGCTCTCATAAGGTGAAGACTTAACGGGAACTTTTTTAGGCCAAAAAGCTCCTGCAGGGCTATAGTATTATTTTATTATTTTTTGGCCATTTAAAAGTTTTGCATTAAGTCATTTGTTTTCCTATTATGCTGTTCATCAAATTGATCAAGCTCCCAACCCCGTTGTTGTCGAAAGTTTGTCTAAGGTCGCCGTAGTTAGCTCCTTGTTGATCGAGATCGTTACCGTCGCATACTATATCTGAAGTGTGGTTCTCACATTCAAAGTTGTCATCGTCCTCGCAGCCTTTAGATCCGTTCCAACTCAACGGTGACTCGAGTTTCAATCCATTTAAGCTTGCCTTCATCATCACATCTTGTCCGTTGAAATTACCTCCAACATCTTCTCAAAAAGCTCCAATAGGGTCCTATATGGGAACATTCCTTGAAAGAAAAGCTCCCGTAAACATCCTATGAGAGTGTTCATGAGCATGAAAGCTCTCTTATTGATAAGCCCACGAGAGCCTTTATAAATTTTAAAAAAACTCTCATTGGATACTGGAATGGAAAATGCTCTCGCAGGGAAGACTTATGACAGGAGAGCACCTACTTTGGAATGTTCAAAAAAAAAAAACACTCTGAAAAGCATAAAAAAACGCTTTACAAGTGTTCTTTGTTGTCAGGTAAAAAAAAAAAAAAGGCGATCTTTGTTGCAGTGAGGGGAAAAGTGGGCGTAATTAAGGTGATTGAATTTGAAATTTGAATCAATGTATGGCAATGTGCATGAACGTGACGTGTCATAATTGAACCTAAAAATTAAGTAAATGATCAAAGTTGGGGATACTTTTTGAATTTAGTTGTCCCAGCAGGCCCCACGTACTTTTTAAGTCAAAGCTCACAAAAATTCAACCTTGTCGGTGATTGCAGCCACGCACCCCCTTGTCCACTTGTCGCAACTTATAAGCCACATATATGCACTTTATAGACAACAAATAAATACAAAAAAATTCACCATGAAAAAAGTTACAAATTGTTCGGACTCCTTCGTTATCACCCAATTACCTAAATAAATACACATGTGCATCTAAATATGAGATATATTATTCACTATATATATAATAATAAGCAAGGACGAACCTATGTGTAAGGTAGGGGTTCATTACCCCACAAGGCTAGGAAGAATTACGAGGCAGTGATCCTAAATATTTCATTTGCCCCTCATTAAACATTTTAGTTGCCCCTACCCTAAAAAAAGATAAGAAAATTCATGTGCCTCCATAAAAATTTCACTCGTTTCCTAAAAGTTTGTTTAACCAAAATTTTATTTATGTGTTTTAACCTTAAATAACAAGAGTTTTAGAGAGAAGGGTGCAACAATTAGAAATAATTTTATTTGAGTTGTTAAATTAAAATTTTTATCAAAAAAATTATTTTA